TAAGATTTTAAATTGAGTCATTTTTCACATAGCGAGTTTTGTTTTCTGTTCCATGCCAATGAACGTTTATAATTAACACAAAACAGTTTTATTGTGGCTTGAGTTTAGCACTCATATCATAATTATAACAATAACTGTTACTCCTACCAGATGATCAAATACCATGCTATATATGCCAGTATGGGAATAATTATATTACTCGTAACTTCAGTTAACTTTAAAAAAAGCCATTCGATCAATCAGTAACACAACGACAACAAAAGAGACATAATTCCCTAAAAAATCAACAGAAAAATATTAGTGCCCATACTTTACCGATATAAACTTTGTTATCCTATTACCGGTAGGGTATGAATTTTGAAATAGCTACACCAAAGCACGTATTGTATTGTTTGTGTCGATGTGTATAGAATACCATATAATCAAATAAAATATCAATATATTTCAAGAACAGATCAAACGATAAATATTCCCTTCTCTTCTCTTGTAATGAATAGTACTTATCTTCAAATTTTAAATTTTCTCCATCCATGTTTTAGGTTGGCTGAATCAATCAAAAATAGGAAGGTTTTAGAGGTAAAATCTCATCAAAAACATATCATGACAATGAAGATCACTATTTTCTGTCATAAAATTTGTTGTGGTTTTAGTCTTCCATTCTATCTAAATATTATGACATTTTATGTAGAAACAACTTTGGTGTTCTACTAACGGATATGTTCCGGGGGGAAGGAATTGTTAGCAATGGAGTTTGACAGCAATATGCACTATCAAGTCAACCTCCACGTGGTTCCCTCTGAAACGAAGGGGTATCCTATTCTTTGCCATGTGGTAAGCGCTGAATATAAATAATCCATTAAAATATAAATAAGTCCAATAGTATGTAATGTATGTAAATATGTAACTAGAAAAAAAAAATTAATAGAAATTTTTTACACTCTGCGTTATATTATTCTAATTTTCGTAGGGATTTCAATTTCAAGGGATAAAAGAATTTTTAAACCGATTAAGTACTTTTTGAGTTTATCCATTATTAACTAATAAACATACAACAAAACAAATCTTTCCTTTTAATAATATTTACAATATTAGTATAATGGGGGGAATGGATTGTTAGCAATGGAGTTTGACAGCCCCATTGCTAGCAATATCAGGTCGACATCTATGTGGTTCCCCCTGGAAACCATCGTGAACAATTCTCGTTGAATTCGTCACGATGGGCTAACTGACCTGTTTCATACTCATCTATCATCCTTCACTGGTACCCCGCAGGTGTATACAGATAGCACGGGTGGGGTTACTATTTCATTATCACCTATAAAAAAACTGATATGTTCCTAATAGTTTCATTAGATTTTTTTTTAATTAGAACGACGAGTTACTTATACTTTTCAACCGACTTCGAAAAGAAAAATGTTTTCAATTTTGTTGATTTTTTTTATGTTTGTTATCATAATTTCGTTAGTTCTGAATCAATTTGGCAATTCTTTTTTTATCTGAAAGGATGTACTTACAGATTGGTCCCCTAGGAATTTTATTAAAATCGGTTCAGTGGTTCAGTTTTTAAATCAAAATAACTAATTTTGTCAAAATTGAGGTCGGTTCTTTTGTAGGAAACAATCATTTTAGGATATCAGAATTTAAGATGGAAAAGTGGCAAGATTTCGCGTATTATTGGAATACTGTTATTGTAAACTCACTACTACGTTGATTTTTCCTTCTACATATGATTATTAACTAACTGCCCTCTTAAAACCTTTCGAACTTGCAAATACCTTGTCGAACGTCTTATTAGCAACTAGACTGATAAAGCATTAGACCCCAATTCTGTGTTATATGACGGTTCATAATGTAATTTTATGAGCGGAGTGGAACGGCATTACCATAATTGGAGGTCGGCGGCGTCGGCGGCGGAACCGGTTCAGTACTTCGTGGTACAAATATGACGTCATCGTTGACATCATCAACATAGTGAGCTTAATAAAAAGAAACAAAAATAAATGCAATAAAATTAGCTGCAGCAAAATTGTGTCAAGCTCGTGAGGTCATTTCTTTATATTAAGGTGGTTATAACTATGGTGAAAAACAGTAAAACATTTTTACAATATCTTCTCTCTCTACTGGCCTGATGGCGCCGGCAACGCTTTCAGAGGGATATCGTATTCACATCATCATAAACCAGAATTGCTAAGTAGTTTACGTAAGTTATTCCTACCTAACTTGATCGTTTGGGGGAAAGGGATTGTTAGTAATGGAGTGTAATGGCCCCATTGCTAGCAATATACCCCGTCAGGTCGCCCTCCTCGTGGTTGCCCTTGGAAACCATCGTAATTGATTTATTGTTAAATTCGTCACGGTGGGCTAATTGACCTGCTTCATCCTCACCTATCATCACTCACTGGTGTCCCACCAGCGTATACCGATAGCACAGGCGGGGTTACCATTCCATTATTATCTATTAAAAAAATAAATAAAAAAACTACTGTTACCACTTTCTATCAGATGAGTCGTAGGCTTATCTATTCTAGTTGCATAAAAAGCTTATGCCTTGTTTATTAGTGGCATTGACTTTATTTAAACAATTTCTTACATTTTGAATTTATTACTTTTTTATATTATAGTGTACCTAATAATAATATATAAAATGTATGTTATTTTATAATGTACTCATATGTACGGCTAATATGACGATTATGTTATTTAATTCAATATGCGTTGGTACTTAATTTTTTACAATGTTAATTAGTCTAATGATTAATGTTTTGAACCTGAAAAAATTTAACAGTATTCCGAACTACAATATACAGACCAACTTTTAGATTATTAACTTAAAACTTAACCTTCGCTTATACTATGATGAGTCAATAATATATATTATAATCGTAACGTAATGCACATTTTGCATCATAAATTAAGAATAGTACCTACCTGTTTTACATTTACCGCTGGTGACCTATAGCTTTGCTAGTGTCACTATTCAATGACACGATTATAGGTGTGACGGCAAACTATTTTTAATTGTACTGACAAAAAAGTATTTAGGTCGGTTACTGGGCGCACCCCAGTCAGTGGCGCGCCTTCAGCCCTCTGACTGTCCCTCCCCTCTCACTAACATAGTGCCTTTATGACACACCTTTATAGCCTCGAAATTAATCAATATTCAAATATCATACAAGAAAGAGCTAAAACACATTTTCCTACCAATATTACAAATGTAACTTTGTAAAGGTGTTTGGATGTTTATATATGTGTTACTCAATCACACTTAAACGGCTTAACAGTTTTGAATTAAATTTGGCACACAGGTAGGTTATATCCTAATGTAATATATATATTTTATATAAAGATTCACGCGGGCAAACCCATCGGATATAGTTAGTAGATAATAAGGCTCTCCATATAACATATTCAGCGTTGAGAATAGATAAGGTTCTTGTAACAAATTCAGTGATAGTAAATAGGTAACTATATACCTAAGCTGATTCGTGGAACTTAACAACTTTTTCTTATGAACGTAGGAACGTATAGTAGATTTATGAAAATATTTTTTGTACATTGTTTTGAACCATCAACGCGCGATCACTGATCAATTTAGATTAAATTATAATTATCATAAAAATGTACTTTTTTAAATAATGTAAATTAAAATGGGAGCTCCACTCACGCTATTGATATATTGCTAGCTATTATAAGTAATGATAAGTGAAGATGAGACAAGCAGGATAAGGATTTTAATCTTGTCTCTTCATATTTTTTTTCATTAGTATACGAGTACAATTGCCGGAAATATTATTATGCCAAAATTTCAAGTCAATTTGAGCAAAATTAATGGAGTTAAGCAGATTTTTTTACTCCATTATAATTCATAAAATTTCTTCATAGAAGAACATGTCCATACAAAATTATTTTGTATATGTTCGAGATCGATGTCTCTCTGTGATTATAAGAGAATCGAGTTTTGTTTTTATTCTTTTTTTATTTTTTAACGTGTAACTTAATGTTTTTACAAAACTGGTATTTTTGAAGTCGATGTACGTTATAAGTGAAAATCTAATGCATCGATATTTTCAACCAACTTTAAAAAGAAGGAGGTACTCAATTTGGTTAATTTTTTATCTTTGTTATCTCATAACTCCGTCAGCTATATACCGAATTGGGAAATTCTTTGTTTATCCAATACAGATTCATCCAATAGAAATTTTACCAAAATCGGTCCAGTAGTTTAGTTTTTAAATCAAAAACTAACTAGTTCTGGCACCATTAATGTTGGTTCATATGTGAAACACAATCTTAATTGAAATTGAAATTCAATACACTATTTCAATGGGCATATTTAAGGAGATCCCTACCAACGGCTTATTTATCAATATTTTGCAATGAAATTTTTAAAGAATATCGTTTAGATGTTGTATTATATGGAAAGTATAAATACAGCAGCGTTGCCTGTGCTGTCAAAAAATTCTTCGAAATATGCTTTTATTCACCGAATTAATTCTAAACTCAAGTTAGGTTCATTGTCCCATCGTAATA